AGCGAGAGGGCGTGCTGCCTCTCCTCGGCCTCTTCCGCAGCGCAGGTCATGGCCAGCGTGGCCAGCCTCGAGCGCCCGCCGCCCCCTCCTCCTCCTCCTCCTCCTCCTCCCTCCTCCTCCTCCTCCTCCTCCTCCTCCTCCTCCTCCTCTCCTCCTCCTCCTCCCCGAGCGCCCGCCGCCCCCTCCTCCTCGGCCTGCCCCCGCTTCCAGGCTGCGGAGGGCCACGCCATCGTGCGCGAGAGGCGGAAGACCAGCGGGGCAGGGGCGAAGCAGACTGCAAGGTGTGCGCAGCGGACCGAGCACGCTCCACGCGGTGCCCTCCCGCATGGACCTCGGCTGCCCGGGCATCGGCGCTCGGGAAGCTCTACGCAGCCGGGGCCTTTGTCGTCACAGGGTTCGTGGATGCGGTAACCCGATGCGCTGGAACGCGCAGTGCGGGCTGAGGATGAGGACGCGCCCGATGGCGCCCTCGACCGCCTCCGACGTTCAGACCCCGCGACCCTGGCCTCTGGAGAGCGCGCACGGGGCATCGGAGCCCGCTCGGCACTGGCAGTCGGCCGTCCGATACGCGTGGTCCTCATGGCAACCCGCTGGACTCGAGCCCCGTGGGAAAAAAACACACAACACACACACAAAACAAAACAAAACAAAAAAACAAAAAAAAAAAAAAAAAAAAAAAACGGGGGGAAAAAAGCACACCTTCTGTGGGAAAAACACCAAAAAAAACAAACAACCAAATAATAAGAATAAAAAGACAACAACAAAAAAAAAAAAACGGGAAAAAGACACACATTCTCCTCCGTCCTGCCCTCCGTCCTGCTCCGCTTCACAAGCGGGGACCTCCGCGGCAGGCTGCTGGGTGCCCTCCGCCGCCTCGCCGCGGGCAGCCTCGGCCCCGGCGCCTCCCCGAAAAACGTCGCCCCCACGACGGGGCGGCGCGCCCGCCGTCCACGGGCTCCGCCGCCGGCGATATAACTCCCGAACCGACATTAGGCGGCGAGCGAGGGGGGGAGATGAGAAGGGGCGGGCCTTCTCGGAAGGCTCGGAAGTCCCCAAGCCTTCTGAGAAGTTTCCCGAGAAGCCTTCCCCGAAGACAGAGAAGAGCCTTCCCGGAGGGCGCGAGGGCTTCTGCGAAGTCCCGCCGCCTTCCGAGAGGGCCTTCTCCTTCTCAATTCCCCCCCTCGCTCGCCGCCGAGACATAGGCGAATGCCCGAGGCCACGGACCTCGGGACCGACCCCCGGACAAGAGCCACCGGTCCTCTCCCCACATGGGCGAGGCGTCGACTTCACACACCTCTCCTCCTCCTCCTCCTCCTCCTCCTCCTCCTCCTCCTCCTCCTCCTCCTCCTCCTCCTCCGTCGGACGAGATGAACACCTGTTCGGGGTCCTCCACGCCGACTTCCGAACCCGAGATCACGTAGGACTGGCGGACACCAGGCGGCAATGACGACCCGCCCAGGTTGTCTGAGCCGTACCATTGAGCGTCGGTCTTACCCGCGTCTGCTCGTGGCGTGTCGCGGCGGCCGGACTCATCTTCCGCTGGTGTCTCTCCCGCCGACAGCGAGAAGCGCATGCTGAGATTATGCGACGAATGTGAGTAGGAGCCCCTGACACAGTCAGGGGACTCGAAGACGATGTGCTGCATTCATTTTAAGCCGTGGCATTGCTCTTCGATATCGAGCACATCCATCTTCGAGTCGGGAAGCACAGCTTCCTGAGCTCGTGGCTAATGTTTCGGCTGATAACCTGTATTTTGCCGATTCATCAAGGATTCAGGCAAGATTTTCATGCGGTTAATCGGTTATTGTTGTGTTTGTTTTACTTGTTCGTGTGGATCTTGTTTAAACATCGATCTCAAGTCTCGACGCGGAGAGGATGCATTTCCCGCCATAGCGTAAGTAAGTCCAATAAGCAGAGGTACAAGCGGGAATGTGTGATACGCGTGAGCGCCCGGCCCGGGCAAGGGAGGGGAAGCTCTCTGCGGATGCATCAGACCAAACCGCCCAGACCGATCATCCCTAATGCGACGACGGGGACCTCGGTGATGAAACGTCTTCATCGTGCTGTTAGGATTGGGGGTTCGTTTGTTTTCGACGACGCTGAGTTGCCGCTATTGTTATGTCGGGCGTGTCCCCCATACAGGGGGATGTTCGACAAAAAATGCCGCTTTTTTAAACAATAACAAAATCCAAACATACTCCAAAAAACAATCCCTGGACTGTTTTTCCCAACCATCCTGTGGTGTTGGGTCCTCGTTTTGAAGAGACAGCGCCCCGCGTCCCACCTCCTCTCCTCCTCCTCCCCCTCCTCGCCCTCCTCCCTCCTCCCCCTCCTTGCCTCTGCTCTCGGCACACCCCTCACACGTTTCGTAGCCCCATAGGGGGCTCCACCGAAGGTCCCAGTGGCACAGCCCGCATGCGGTTCCCCCACCCAGGGCAGCGTTTCGTAGCCCCATAGGGAGCTCCACCGAAGGTCCCAGTGGCACAGCCCGCATGCGGTTCCCCCACCCAGGGCAGCGTTCGTGGCCCCATAGGGAGCTCCACCGAAGGTCCCAGTGGCACAGCCCGCATGCGGTTCCCCCACCCAGGGCAGCGCTTCGTGGCCCCATAGGGAGCTCCACCGAAGGTCCCAGTGGCACAGCCCGCATGCGGTTCCCCCACCCAGGGCAGCGTTTCGTGGCCCCATAGGGAGCTCCACCGAAGGTCCCACAGCACCCCCACCCAGGGCATAGCGTTTCGTGCGGTTCCCCCACCCAGGGCAGCGTTTCGTGGCCCCATAGGGAGCTCCACCGAAGGCCCCAGTGGGGGTGTTCGCATGCGGTTCCCCCACCCAGGGCAGCGTTTCGTAGCCCCATAGGGAGCTCCACCGAAGGCCCCAGTGGGGGTGCCCGCATGCGGTTCCCCCACCCAGGGCAGCGTTTCGTAGCCCCATAGGGAGCTCCACCGAAGGCCCCAGTGGGGGTGTTCGCATGCGGTTCCCCCACCCAGGGCAGCGTTTCGTGGCCCCATAGGGAGCTCCACCGAAGGCCCCAGTGGCTGCCGCATGCGGTTCCCCCACCCAGGGCAGCGTTTCGTGGCCCCATAGGGAGCTCCACCGAAGGCCCCAGTGGCACAGCCCGCATGCGGTTCCCCCACCCAGGGCAGCGTTTCGTGGCCCCATAGGGAGCTCCACCGAAGGCCCCAGTGGCGCAGTTCGCATGCGCCCCCCACCCCACCCACCCCACCCAGGGCAGCGTTTCGTGGCCCCTAGGTAGCTCCCCCGAAGGTCCCAGTGGCGCAGTTCGCATGCGTCCCCCCCCCACCCAGGGCAGCGCTTCGTGGCCCCATAGGGAGCTCCACCGAAGGTCCCAGTGGCGCAGTTCGCATGCGTCCTCCCCACACCCAGTGCAGCGTTTGGTGGCCCCATAGAGAGCTCCACCGAAGGTCCCAGTGGCGCAGTTCGCATGCGTCCCCCCCCCCGCCCAGTGCAGCGTTTCGTGGCCCCATACGGGGCTTCCCCGAATGCGATACCCACAACTGCATATGGTTGGGTCCTTCGCCAGGCTAATTGGAGTTTTTTCCCCTATTCTTGAATATCTTTTATGTTTCGTCGAAAATCCCCCCGAAGGGGGACAGGCCCGACATAACGCTGTTGCCGTCCACCGTCGTCGTAAGGTGGCTGCTGGGTGCGCGGCAGGCGGCCGCCTCCACCGCGCCGGACCGCGGCGACGTGGCCCCGGCCAGGCGCGGCACGGCCAGGAAGGAACCCCCTCGGGCCCGCGATCGAAGAGGGACGCTCGGCCCAGCAAGGCGCCCACCATGAGCCCTTGACCCCCTGCTCCTCCTCCTCCTCCTCCTCCTCCTCCTCCTCCTCCTCCTCCTCCTCCTCCTCCTCCTCCTCCTGCTCCTCCTCCTGCTCCTCCTCATCATCATCATCATCTTCCTTCTTCCTTCGTCACGCTCATCAGCATAATTATCCTCCCTCATGCCTTCTCCCTCCTCCCTCTTCCCTCCTGCTCCTCCCTCCTCCTCCCTCCTCCTCATCCTCTTCCGAGTTACTCCCTCCTCTTTCTCCTCCATGACGGTCGAAAACCGACCGCTGGAATTGTCCTGGCGCATGCTCCGACCAGACAATTCAGGGGACAGTCAAGCCGTGGCGGCGAAGAACACTCCACGGCGCCCGCAAAAAAAATAGAAAGGCCAGATAAGCCTCGACCCGCGAACCTCGACCCCCAAATGACGAGGAGCGAGAGCATGAGCGAAAGCGGGACGAGGAAAAGAAGAGGATAAGAGGTGCCAGCTATGCACCTGCACCGATGCTAGCCGGGCCCCTCCTGGGCTCAGGATCGGTGCGTACGGCGCCCTGGCTTCGCCAGGATGGCATGTACCCCGACATCAGCCGATGTCACGGTGCAAATCCGCTGCCCCAGAGATCCCGACCGCTTCCACGGGGGGCAGCTTTCGTCGTCGCGGACCCATTTCTGGTATAGCCCCCCCTGGGCCTGAAAGTGGAACCGTGCAGCCAAAATCGAGGAATCTCGCCAGAATCTGAAAGTGGAACCCGGCAGCCGAACCAAAGAATCTCGCGCCAAAATTTGAAGAATCAGATCACCAGATATCGGGGTGCACCGATCCTGGGCCTGGGATTGACCTGGCCAGAGTCGGCGCGGGCGCATGGCTGACGTCCTCCGAGTGGAGGACACCGCGCGCGCGCGCGCGAGGGGCGGCGCAGGGAGGCCTGCCGCGGAGCTCGCGGCGGGCGCCGCGGCCGGCGCGGCGCTCGCGTCGTCGGCAGGCCCCTTGTCGCGGGGGCGAGAAGAGAGGAAGGGGAGGGAGAAGGAGGAGGGAGGAGGAGGAGGAGGAGGCGGCGGCGGCGGCGGCGGCGGAGGACGGGGGAGGAAGAGGAGGACGAGGAGGAGGAGGAGGAGGAGGAGGAGGAGGAGGAGAAGGAGGAGGAGGTAGGAGAAGGAGGAGGGGGAGAGGAGGAGGAGAGAGGAGGAGGAGGAGGAGGAGAAGGAGGAGGAGAGAGAGAGAGAGGAGAGAGAGGGAGGGAGAGAGAGAGAGAGAAACAAAAAAAAAAAAAAAGGAGGAGGAGGATAGAGGAGGGGAGAAAGAGGAGGAGAAGGGGAGGAGAGGAGAGGAGGACAAAGGGAGGAGAGAGAGGAGAGGAGAGGAGGAGGAGGAGGAGTGGAAAGAGGACGCAGAGGTAGGAACAGGAGGAGAGGAGGAGAAGGAGGAGGAGAGAGAGAGAGGAGGAGAGGAGGAGAGGAGGAGAGGAGGGAGGAGGAGGAGGAGGAGGAGGAGGAAGAAAAGGAGGACGAGGGAGGAGGAGGAGGAGGAGGAGGAGGAGGAGGAGGGAGGTAGGAGGAGGGAAGTAGGAGGAAGGAGGAGGAGGAGGAGCGAGCGTCCCAAGAACAGAAGGGTCTCCTCACGCACCCGCCTCGCGCGCGCCCGCCTAGGAGCCTCTCAGGGCCTCGGTGCCAACGTCCACGCGGCCGCCGGTGCCGGAGAAAGTGTACTTGTAATTGGAATCGTCGCTGCTCAGGTAATCGGCGGAGCCATCGAGACCGACTAGGCGGTCGGAAGCGCCGTCGAAGGACTTCGCAGCGAGCGCGAACAGGCGGCCGCCCTCGTGGGCGGCGGCGTCGCAGGTCGAGCCGCGCACGTCCAGCGTGGACGACTGGGGGTCGAAGGAATCATCAGAAGCGGCACAAAACAATGAGAACAGTGTCGCGACCAGCGGCACCAACCCACTCTCTGAGGTAGCTGCCAAGATGTGCCACGCGCACCAGCAGAGCAAATAGTATGACGAAAAGCACGGCACTGGCCATGCACCCTCGCCCACTGTGGCTGCTCGGTTGCGTCCTCAAGCCGCGAAGCGTAAAACCTAAGGCACCCTGTCCAAGCTGCGCGGTCAATGTGAAGATTAGAATGCACCAAACAGTTTGTCACACATTAGTCGGGAATCAATTTCAGCGTCTGTTGAAAAAAATTGATGAGCGAGCCCCACTGCAGCGTGCCATTCTCTTTCACCCCATGGTGCTTCGTCGAAGTTGATTCGTCTCATTGGATACTGAAAGCAAAACCCTTCCCGACACGTGCCCACATACACCACCACGTTCGCAGAGTGGTCCGCGACGCATTTGTACGGACGATTGTCCCACTCTACGAGACTGGTCGTACTTAAGTGCGGTCAAACCCCCATGTATACCCGACGATGTTCAAATTTTCACACAAGGACAAATATGCGGTGGAGTTCAAGAGAAAAAACATTGTAGCGACCATGCGAAGTCATTGTGGAAGCGCGGGGCGCAACAGAACCTCGTCGACACCATGGAAGCGAGCGGATCCATTTGAAAGGGGGCTCGTTGAACTGTACAAGATCGGTGCCACTTTGGAGTACCCCCACGGAAGCAGTCGGCGATGTTCGGCTAGTGGAAAACATCCCGAGGCTGGAAAGCCGCGGAAAACCGGCGAAAACGCCAAAAGAAAAACTTAACCTCGAACCCCTTTTCGAGACGTCATGGGAGCCGCCGAGGGTTGAGCGATCGACCCCTCACGGGCCCCAGCCAGGGCAGCTTGCATCCCGCATCGACAGCTGACGCCCCTGGGACACGAGAGCGGCCCCGATGGAAACGATGGAAAATGCTCGAGCGTCGACTTCGCTATTCTTCGATGCGCCCGCGAGAAGGCCCAGGCTGCCTTGGCGGGCCAGGAAGGGAGGCCAGCGCCACCTGGCGCGAATCATGCGCGCAGACAAAAGGAGGCCAAGGAGCACATTGAAAGAAGAACATGTGAGTCATCATGTCATGGTCCCCGCCATGATATCCACAGACACACGCACGCCTTTTTCATACTAAAAAAAATCGGAAGGGCAAAGAGCCCCCACGCGCGAACAGCAGATGGAAGTGCGAATGGCGATCGAACCGTCGAAGGCATGGTGCGCAAAGCGTCGCAAATTCTCGGGTGCAGGATGGGTGGTGTGAGAGAGGAGCTGTAAACCAAAAAATACATGCAGCGCCCAGAGAACTGCAGAGGCAACTCAACTCGAAGTGAACTGAAGCGCGAGCAGTCTGGTGCGAATTAGCGGCCACTGAATCACCAAAGAGCGACGTTACACCATGCAACGCGAGAAAAGCTGCAACGGCTGCCAGACCAGCCGGTGTGGATAACACACTGGCACAGCACGGCCCGGTAACATATTGGCGAGGTGTGAGCCAACAAACCAGAACTGCAAAGCCGCGGCAGTGGGCGGAGTGCGGGCCAGCTTGCAGCCACACCACGGCAGTGTGGAAACCGAGAAGAAAGGGTCGAGGTACGACGCGCCCGTGCTCCTTCTGGAAGTACAAACAGGCAGACAGGACAACATGCAAAACGAAAACCCGTGCCACCTGTCACGGGACTGAGCAGTTGGGCAAACTGTGACAAACTGCAAGGTGACAGAACGTGTCAACCACGCGGCTGCACAAGCACAACGAGCGACGTCAGCCACCCCGCCAATACCCGCCAGCCCTGACAAGCGAAAACGCAGACCCGCCCAAAGGTCAAACGCGTGGATTGCCGGACGCAACAGAATCAAATTGAGCAAGCGCCGCCGAAAAGTCCGCCGCGATTGCAATGCACCCCCGCAGTGGCACCGGCGAGCGGAGGTCGACCACCCAGACACCGTTGCCACGGCAGGTAGACCAGAAAAAAACGGAGAAAGCGAAGCCAGCGCGAAGGCACGCGCGGTCGCGCCAGATCGCAACGACAGAAAACGGACGGACAGCCGATCGAAGCTACCCGATGACCCACCAGACGCCGGAACCCCGGCAGCTGGGCACAACGCAGATGAAGACGATACCCGCCCAACAGAAGGCAGCTGAGCGCGAGTCGCGCGGCTGCAGATTTAGTGACAGCACGGCGGCGTCGCCGCGCGGGGGCTCGGCCCGCGGACGAGTCGCGGCGCCAAAGGGGGCTAGACAGCCCGCGACAACCATCTTGGAATGTCGCGAGGCTGCCTGCAGGGCCGAGCTGAAGGCGCGACTCCGCCCAAGGCAGCAAGGTTGCGCAAACTCACCGGGCGCGCCCCGCGAGGCGCGGCGCGCACCGCGCGCCACCGGGGCGGGGCGCAGAAAGAAAGCGGCACCCACGCGGCCACGCCGCATGGGCGGTGCGGAGGCATCGGCAACGAAGTCGCCGAGCCAAAAAGATCAATGGCTCTCGCAGACAACACGCACAGGCGCTTCCAAACGATAGGCAGAGCGGGAGCTTGGGCGGGAAAGCGGGACGCCAGGGCAGGGGGGGGCCGCCGACGCCCGACTCCACAGCCAGAGCGGATGGGCGCGCGCAGGCTGAAACCCCCGGAACACGATCTCCCCGAGAACCGGCGCAAGCCAGGCCGGGGCCTCAGGGGGGGCTGGCGCCCCCGACCGCAGCACGCCGCCGCCTCCGCGCTGCGCTCTCGATCGGCCTCGCCCCCTCGCGCCGGAAAGACATCGATCGGCCCGCAGAGGGGCGGGGGCCTAAGGCGGAAACGCAGCGGGCCAGGGCAGAATTTGCACTCCACACGACGCAAAGCGGAGCGCGTTGTCCAGGCACCCGGCCCCCAAGGGACCCCCCGCATAGCCCGGCGCCCCCTGCAGCCCGCAGACGCGGCGAGGCCACAGTCTACACATGGTCTCACCAGCATGCTGCGAGCAGCCTCGCAGAGGAGCCGATTCCCCCCGACGCGCGCAAACTCTCTGGCCATGCCCCACCGCGATACGCCGCGCGACGCATCGGCGCGGATGGGGGGGCGCGCCCACCGAGGTCCCCCGCAAGCAAAACATGAAATCACACCTCCAAAGAACCTTCCACGCACCGGAACCTTCTGCCTTGCCAGCCATTGCTCGGAAGTGGGACAATTCCGCGGCGCCGCTGATCCGTAGCCCGGGCGGTTGATCGGCGCTGCAAAGGAGCAATCCGCCTGCCCGCTCACCCATGCAGCCCTTAAACGCTTCGGCGCCACAGAGCACGTACGGTCGCACTAGCCAGCGATAGCGCATGGCCTCGTCTGAAGCCTCGAGAAATGAAAGCGCCATGGTCGGGCGCCCGCAGGTAGCAAGACCGCCCTGGGTTTGAGACTGAAAACAGGCTAACATCGGCGGCCCCAATCGGCCCATCTCCGCTAGGCAAGGCGCGGGGCTCTGCCCCCGTCGCGCTGATACCTTCGCCGCCAGCCGGGCAAGCGCTTGAACCATGCCCGTCGAGTTGTATTCCGCGCACTCCGCTTGCAGCTGATTGGCCGACATAAAAGGCCCGTAGTTGCCACGAACCAAGCAGAGCGGGATCCTTGACCGCCGCGGCATATCTGCCCGATCGGCAACGCGCGCCCGCCCACCTTCCCACGAGGACCTCCAAACCGGCGCGCCCCGCTCCGCGCTGGCATTGCGTTGGAAGTACTTGATGAAGGCCGCGAATCTCGACTGCGCGTTCTCGTCGTGCTGCGAGGCATCCCACCTAGATGGTTCCGTTCGCCGGAACCTCTGTCGTGGCTGCTCCTCGATGCGCTCAACTGGTGGGTGATCTCGTTGTTGGTTCCCCTCAGCTTGTGCCACACCCCATCTCTTTCCATGCTGAACTGCATCTCTGCGCTCCTCATTGGCCTGGATCCAGTCCCAACCTGACCAGTTGGCTTCAGACCCTTGGCCGTCACGGCTGATCACGTCTGCAAACAGCTTGCACATAGCCTTCCGAGCCTGTGAATTTGTCCTGGGGACGTCAGTGGCACGCGCCAGTGGGGCGGCGCACTCTGGATGCCTCCTCACCAACGTGGGTCCTCCAGCGTGCCGCAATGGAAATGGGGATGACCCCTTGTGCCAATAATGTGTGCCACCGCGTCTGCTGGGGCTCTCTACACTCAAAGAAATGGAGTGCCAGCTGCTCGCCCGCTGGGACCCATCCACATTGGTAGAGTGGTTGTAGGAAGTCTGGGTTTTTTTTTTCCGCATACGACCAGCTGCCGACGTTGTTTGCCATCTTGATGTCGCCTCCATCGTGATCATGATCGCGTGCCGCCAGCTGCATGTGGGCGTTGGCCTTTGGCCCCCCAGATGCCGAAATTGAATTAATATGCCACGCAGCTTCTTCTCAGGCGCTCTGCTGAAATACTGAATATAATACCGCCGCAAGTTCCCGCACATATCAAGATGAGTGGCAACGGGACAAGAGAGGCAGAGTCCCGGGTGCCATCCGCCTCCGCCACGGCGAGCTCCTGGAGCGCGCCTGGGAAATCCTCCAGGTCGTGGTCGCGCCCGCACTTGGTCAGAAAGTTGCCGAGAACCATTACGTCGTGATGACAGGGGTCGCTGCCTCTGTCCAGGGAGTGGTCGTCACTGTTTTGTTGCGGCCATAGGTCATCTAGCGCACAGTGACACAGACACAGACACACACACACACACACGCACGCACGCACGCACGCACGCACGCACACACACACACACACACACACACACACACACAAACACACACACACACACACACACACACACACACACACGCTTTGGCGTCCCGGCCCCGCGCGCGGCAATGGGGCATAGAAAATCGAGTGCAAGCAGCGGTACGCGCGCGTCTACGCCCGGCCAAGCTCTCCGAGACCACTTAGGGCCTCGCAGCCTGCAGCGGCCCTAACCATCCGGGTAAGGATGGCGGGGATGGGGGCAATGGGCCTAAGAAACTGCGGCGAGCGTGGAGGGTGACATGAGCCAACCGGGACGGAAAGGCGGGGAGAGCAAGAGACTGGAGTGGACCGACACAAGAATGCGCAGAGTAGCGACGGCGGAAAGCGAGCTGCTGGCAGCGGGGCCGCAGAACGTCGCAGGCCCCGAGGGGCCGCAGAAGCCGGCAAGCCGGGCGGCGCGGCGGAAGCGGCGGCGGCCGAGGGGCGGTCCCCCTGAGGAGCGGCCCGGGCCGGCCACCCACGGCAGGGGGGGAGCCAAGGAAGGGGGGGGGAGGAGGAGGAGGAGGAGGAGAAGGAGGAGGAGGAGGAGGATAGGGAGAGGAGAGGAGGAGGAGGAGGAGGAGGAGGAGGGAGGAGGAGGAGGAGGAGGAGGAGGGAGGAGGGGGAGGAGGATGGGGAGGAGGAGGGGAGGAGGGGAGGAGGGGGGGAGGCGGAGGCGGGCGGACGGCAGGCGGAGAGCGGCGAAGCGGTCCAAGGACCATGGAGAACGGGGTGGGACCGCAGCGCGGCGGCAGCACACACACACACACACACACACATTCACACACACATACACACACACACACACACACACACACACACACACACACACACCACACACACGCGCGCGCGCGCGCGCGCGCGCAGCCTGGTCCTGACCCCCCTCTTCGACGCCTGGAGGTGTTCGGCTCACACCTCGGGCCTCGGGCGCCCGTGCGGGAGTGCCCAGCCACTCCCGTAGAGCCCTCGACCGGGCGCAGCTTCTGGAAAGCATTCCGAAGCGAGAGAACCCGAAGGGACCAAGCGGGGCCGCCGGAGGCCCGAGGTGTGGAGGGGGAGGAGGAGGAGGAGGAGGAGGAGGAGGAGGAGGAGGAGGAGGAGGAGGAGGAGGAGGAGGAGGAGGAGCAGGAGCAGGAGCAGGAGCAGGAGCAGGAGCAGGAGGCGCAGGCGCAGGCGCAGGCGCAGGAGCAGGAGCATCCCCTGAGAGCCGACGTCGCGAAAAATTGAAACATCGCCGAAGATCACGACCAGAGACCGACACCGAATCTTTCTGAGGCGTGTCTCCGGCGGGATCGATCCGCGAGGGCCCCCGGGGCCCGAAGCAGGGCGAGACCGCCTGGTGTCGAGACACTCCGACGCCAGGATCTTAGGCTAAGAGGACCAACGCAAACGCCCCCACTTGAACGAAGGATTGCAAAAAAAAACCTTCGACGAAGGATTGCAAAAAAAACCCTTCGACGAAGGTTTTTTTGCAATCCTTCGGTTTTTGTTGCAATCCTTCGTCCTCACCACGCGTTGCACCCCCCGATGAAGGATGGGCGCTTTTGCGGGAGACGCCCTCGAAGTCTGTCCCCAGACCCCGGGGTCCGTCTGGACCGGTTCTGCATTCCGCATCATTTTTGACTGTCCGGGGGCCCGAAAGCAGCCTCCAGATGCCGAAAGCAACCGCCGGTGTTGTGTTTTTTCGTCCTCGACACGACTGTCGCTCGTGAGAAGACTTGGGGGATCGGGCGGACGTAAACGTGAGGTAGCAGGGCTGTGGTTAGAGGAGAGTCGCTAAAGTCGCTAAAACAAGCCGTTCAGGGCGATCCTGGCACCCCCTGGAACGCCCTCGGCGAGGCGCAGCCGCTGAGGCTGAAAGACCGCCGAGAGCCGACGAGAACGTCCGAGAACCTCGACCCTCGAGCCCGAAACCTCCCCCCTCGCTCGCCGCCGACGGAGGGGCCTTGGCCGCAGACGCCGGGGGCGCCCGGAGGCTCTCCGCGGGGCCGCCCCGTGCGGGGCCGGCCTCGGCGCTCGGCTGCCGCGCGGGCGGCGGCGGGTAGGGCGGCGGGGGCGGCTGCCTCCCGCCGCGGCAGCTCGAGGGGGCATCGTCGTCGTGGCTGTCGCCGTCGTGGTCGTCGTCCTCGTCGCCGCCGCCGCCGCCGCCGCCGTCGTCGTCGTCGTCGTCGTCGTCCTCGTCCTCGTCCTCGTCCTCGTCCTCGTCCTCGTCCTCGTCGTGCTCGTCGCGGTCAGTCGACGCCCGATTTCAGACGAGAGTGCGTGGCGCTCAAACAAGAACTACACTTTGAAAACGGAGCCAGCATCAATCAGGGTGACCGCCGCAAGCTTTGAACACCAATGCGCGCGGCGCTGGGGCGAGAGCCACATTTTGAAAAGGACCTCCCTCCACCACTGTAAACGTTGGAACTTTCGGGCTCAGCACGATACATTGCCAAAACGTCTCAGGCGAAACGCCCGGCCAGGCCTGCGGACAGGTCTGGGATGCGACAAAGAAGACTTACTCGTAAGGGTGTCGACATGGGTGGCGGGGACGCATGCGGTCACAGCCACTGGGGCCTTCGGTGGCGCTCCCTATGGGGGGCCACGAAGCGTGTGACTGGTGTGCCGACATCGGTGGCGGGGGCGCATGTGGTCACAGCCGCTGGGGCCTCCGGTGGCGCTCCCTATATGGGGCGCCACGAAGCGTGTGACTGGTGTGCCAAAATCGGCGGCGGGGGCGCATGTGGTCGCAGCCACCGGGGCCTTCGGTGGCGCTCCCTATGGGGCGCCACGAAGCAGCGTGTGACTGCTGTGCCGACATCGGTGGCGGGGACGCATGTCGTCGCAGCCGCCGGGGCCTTCGGTGGAGCTCCGCAAATATGCAGCAACGAAGCACGCGAGGCGGGGGGGGGCCGAATGTGGCCGCAGCCACGGCGGGCTGCGGCGGCGCTCCCTCCGAGGCCACGACACATGTGGAAAGGTGTGTGCCGAAGTAGGTGGCGGGGAGGCCGGCACCGCTCCACCGGGTCAGTCGGTCGGGGGGGGGGGGGGGGGCAACACAACACAAGGCAACCTCAGGGCAGATCCCACTAAAATCCTCAGGAATCCCCAAGGAATCCTCAGGGAACCCTAAGGAATCTGAAGGACTCCTCACGGAACCCTCGGGAATCGATGGGAAACATGCGAGAACCGTTTGGAATCCGTAGGGAACCCTGGGGGTACCCTAGGAAACCCTGGGGAATCCTGAGGGAACCCAAAAGGAACCCAAACAGAACCCAAGGGAATCCTTCGGAGACCGCTATGGAACCCTAGGGAATCCTTAGGAATCCTTTGGGAATCCAGCCGAATCCCCAAGAATCTTTAGGGAACCCTCGGGAATCTTTTGGGGAACCTCCAGGAATCGTCAATAAATCCTCAGGAACCCGAGGGAATCCTGAGGAATCCTTCGAAAATCCGAAGGATCCTCCTAAATCCCCACGGAATCCTAAAGAATTCCTAGGGAATCCGAAGGAATCCTGATGAATCCCGAATGAATCCGAAGAGATCCTCAGGAGCCCCTCGGGGATCTTAAGAAACACCTGACTAATCCTCAGGACCCCCCAAGGGGCCCGAAAAAATCCGCAAGGAATCCTCCGGAAATCGGAAGGGATCTTTAGGGATCCTCAAGAATCCCGAAAAAACAAGAATCGTACGAAATCTCACGGAAGGCTTAGGGATCCCGATTAATCCTGAAAAATGAATCCCTCGGGAATCGTTAGGGACCCCTGGGGAATCCATACGGAACCCTAGGGAAGCCGCACCCGAATGGCTCCTGAAGATTGATAGGTTCTGCGGTGACAGTTTTGTGATGATTTAAGATGATGCACTATCTTATGGTACACTCTAGTATTCATCGTTGTGGTGCGCGCTGATGCGATATTTTTTGCATGATCCGATATGCCATTGAACGTTGTATATTGATGTTATGATATGTCCTTTTATATATAATTATATATATATATATAACGTTATGACGCGATCGACAACGACGACGACGACGACGACGACGACGACGAGCGAAAGCGAGAGCGAGAGCGAGAGCGAGAGCGACAGCGGGGCCACGAAGGACAGGAAGGGGGCCACAAAGGGCGACAGCGGGGCCACGAAGGGCATGCGTATGAGGCCACGACGGGCGCGAACAAGCGGGGGCCACGAAGCGCAGATAATCTGGGGCCACAGAAAGCAACGACGGGGCAATCGAGGGTAGCAACGGGGCCACGTAGGACAGCGACGGGGCCACAAAAGGCGACAGCAGGGCCACGAAGGGCATGCATATGGGGCCACGACTGGCGCGAACGAACGGGGGCCACGAAGGGCATACGTATTTTGGGCCGCAGAGGGCAAGAACGAGGCCACGAAGGGCAGCCAGGGGGCCGCAAAGGGCTGCAACGGGGCCAAGAAGCGCATGCATATGGGGCCCCGACGGGCGCGAACGAGCGGGGGCCACGAAGGACATGCATATATGGGGGCCACTAAGGGCAGCGAGGGGGCAACGAAAGGCTGCAACGGGGCCACTAAGGGCAGCGAGGGGACCACGAAGGGCTGCAACGGGGCCATGAAGGGCAGCGAGCGAGGGGGCCATGAAGGGTCGCAACGGGGCCACGAAACAAAGCGAGGGGGGCCAGGAAGGGTCGCAACGGGGCCACGAAGGGCAGTGAGGGGGCCACGAAGGGCTGCAACGGGGCCACGAAGGGCAGCGACGGGGCAACGAAGGGCTGCAACGGGGCCACGAAGAGCAGCGAGGGGGCCACGAAGGGCTGCAACGGGGCCACGAAACAAAGCGAGGGGGCCACGAAGGGCTGCAACAGGGCCACGAAACAAAGCGAGGGGGCCATGAAGGGCTGCAACGGGGCCACGAAGGGCAGCGAGATCCCGATTCCTAAGCAAGCTGTGAGGGAGTCCTAGGCGTGAGCGCGAGTCCTGGGTGCCTGAATGTCGGGAGCGCAGCGCTTGAGTAAATTGCGCGGAGCTCTAACGCAAGAGCGCGATTCTTGAGTAAATGGCATGCAAGTCTCCAGCGAGAGCGCGACTCCAGAGCGCCAAAAGAACGATTCCTGAATAAATTGTAAGGAAATCCCACGCGAGAGCGCGACTCCTGAGTAAAATGCGAGGAAATCTCAGGTGGGAACGGGGGTCCAGGCTGAATGGTGAGGAAGTCCAAGGCGGGAGCCGTTGTTGTTGTAATTCGGGGGCCAACAACGCAGTTTGAGCCTAGTGACTCTCCCTGCTAAAAAACCAGGTGCGCGCCCCAGGGGAAGCACTTCAACTGAAAAAACACAATAGTCACCGGAGGGGGATCAACAATACTTGTTCTTCAGTAGTGAGAGTTCAACAACCAGCAACAACAACAATAACAACAACAATAATCACTTCCAGACTGTTCGCTCTTACTGGCACGCGTGTCTTGCATCCCGTATACACCAACCTTCGGTACCCGCCCACTTCGTCTTCGATTGCACCCCCCTTCGGGGGATATCTCTTCCTTGTCGGCCACTGACTGAAGTGCGAAGAAGTCTTGAGCGAGAGCGCCGTTCCTGAGTTCGGGGGCCTCTATGGCCAGGGGCTCTCGGAATACCTATGGAAAAATATCGAACGGGAGCCCTTGTCGCCGTGCCCGGGCCTCAACCAACTTGCCTGAATTACAAGACAGTCTCGAGCGAGAGCGCCGTTCCTGACTTCGGGGGCCTTCTTGGCCAGGGGATCTCGGAGCAAATCGTGAGGAAGTATCGAGCGGGAGCCCTTGTCGTCGTGGCTGGGCCTCCACCAAATTAATCGAATTGCGAGGAAGTCTAGAGCGAAAGCGCCGTTCCTGACTTCGGGGGCATCTCTGGCCAGGGCGTCTCGGGGTAAACTGTCAGGAAGTATCGAGCTGGAGCCATTGTTGTCGTTGCTGGGCATCCAAGGGCCCACATTTAGGCTCAAGCCAACGCTCGAGCGGGAACCTCGTTTGCAGAGAACACTAGATACAAGAAAACGAACGTCAAGAAAGCGAGGAAGCGCAAGCGACATCGCTTCAGGAGAACCAGCATAATAACTATTCATGTTGAAATGATCAACAACAACAAACAACAACAACAACAACACCAACAACAACACTACTATCCTCTAATACTACTACTACTACTACTACTAACTACTACTACTAACTACTACGACTTACTACTACTACTACTACTACTGCTTACTACTACTACTAAGTACTAACTACTACTACTACTACTAACATACTACTACTACGACTACTACTACTACTAACTACTACTACTACTAATGAAATAATAATATAATACTACAACTACGACGACGACTACTACTACGACTACGACTACCAACTACACTACTACTACTACTACTACTACTACTACTACCCATACTACTCATACTAACTACTACTACTACTATCTACTACTACTAATACTACTACTAATAATAATAATAATAAATAATAATAATACTATTACCACTACTACTACTACTACTCTAACTACTACTAACTACTACTACTACTACTACTACTACTACTCACTTACTACTACTACTACTACTACTACTACTCTACTACTACTACTACTACTACTACTACTAACTACTTACGACCTACTACTACTACTACTACTACTACTACCACTACCACTACCACTACCACTACCACTACCACTACCACTACAACTACTACTACTACTACTACTACTACTACTACTACTACTACTACTACTACTACTACTGCTGCTACTACTACTACTACATACTACTACTACTACTACTACTACTACTACTACTACTACTACTACCACTACCACTACCACTACCACTACCACTACCACTACCACTACAACTACTACTACTACTACTACTACTACTACTACTACTACAAGAAAAAAAACAAAAACAAAAACAAAAACAAAGTCAACAAAACCAACAACAAAAACAACAACAACAACAACAATCAGTTTAAGACTGTTCGCCCTTATCTGCTCGAGTGCCCAATAACGCGTATTTCCCAAACCCTCGATACCCGCCCTCTTCGTCTTCGGTCGAACCC